TGGGGGTAGAATCATTTCTTGGGGAAGAAGGATAGGTAAAGTCTCAGAGGGCATCTTCTTCATCATCACCACCATCATCATCAACAGGTCTGCTCTTCCCTAACTGACCATGTCTTCTACTTTTTGTGTTTCCAAGGAAAAGATTAAATGTGATTTTTTTTTCCATCTGCATTGATGGCATCATTATTTTTATTATTCTTTTACCTGAAAATAAGATGGAATGAAGAGAAATAAAATACCAGAGTCCAGATGAAGCCATAGGGAGCTGGGATCAGAGGAAAACTGAAAAGTTGAAAGGAATGACCTTCCACAATTGCACTTCTCAGACTTGTGCTGTCATGTGAATGCCTTCCTGTTACACAACAGAAATTAAGCAGTTTAGACAAATATCAGTGGAGCTACGCCAGGATTTAATTAGGTCTCATGATCCAGACCTTTCAAATTACCTGCCTCTTTCAGTGTGATGAATCCACCTTTTTTTGGGCATGACCTTCCAATCTGTGTTGGCTGCTCAGTCTGGGGGTTTTGGCTTCTTGATGTACAGCCAAGTGTTCAAAGGCTTTGTAAAAGGCACAAAGACTTATTTAAAGTGTTGGAAATTTTAAAAATTTGATTTATTGTTGTTCAGAATGATGAGTAGTTTTATGTTCCATCTTGGAGGAAACGAGGTGGTTGCTAGTGGTTAATCAGGGTAGTTCCTTTAATACTTCTTTAATTTGTGATGGGTAGAAATAGGGAAGGTCTGCTACAGGAACCAGCTGATGTTTTAGAAACACTTGGTAAGTTACAAGCTGAAGTGTTGACAAAAGGAAATTCGGTTGGTTTTTTTTGGTTGTGGGGTTTTTGGTTTTTTTGGTACTGGCTGCAGTATGCCTGCCACTTCAAAGCTATCAGTGACCAGAAATTAAACATGTGGTAAATATGACTGGAAATAGTAATCATCCATAGTTTGTCTTTCCAGAAAAAAACCCAAAACCAACCAACAACTACATTTAAATTCCTTACTTCTCATAATTTCCGCAGTTAATGTACTGGATATTTATCCCCTGTCTCCAGAAAAGAAAAGGAGAAAGGGGAGGGGGGGAAAGCAACTGTTTAAATTTTTTACATTCTTTGCTTTTCCTTCTGACTGTGCTGCTCTCACCAGCATTTCACACGTGGTTGTGGTTTCCCTGCATTGTCCTTCACATTCCAGATTCACTGCTCAATTTGTTTGATTAACCCAGTACCAGTGTATATAAAAATACCCTGAGATGCTGATCCTTTCTGCTCTGGCTCGGCTGACTGTGTCTGTACCATCCATGGCAGAATATCTTTGTCTGGAGACAGCGTGCTTTGGTTGCCTGTATGAATATATGAAAATATTATATTTCTAAATGATAAGAGTAGATTTCGGGAGGAGGGTGAGGTGATGAGGGAATTGGGTGCCCACCACTTTTATTTGTAGGATCCAGCTCCTCCCCTCCATCATCCAGTGGGTTACATCGTTTGCCATCAGTGAGACTTCTTAAAATCAGAGCTCTCCCTTGAGTGGACAGATTTAGTAACATGTGGTTACTAAACTGTGTACTTTGGATAAAAATAAGGAAGTCTTACTGTAAGCAAAATACCTGAAATTGAATGTCTCTGTGAAAGAAAGAGCCAGGTGAAGATTTTTATAAAGTCAAGTGATTTCTTTGTAGCATTCCTTGGTTTCAAATGAAAATCTTTGTAAGCTTCCCTCATCAGACACTTCTTGGGATGGCCTCAAAAAATGAGAATTGCAGGTTTATCCCTGGATTTTTATACTTCAGATACTATACTAGTGGAATAGCTAAATGATTTTACTTTACATTTTATTTACTTTGTGATTTCTTTATTATAAAATCCATCCTAAACCATAGCTAGTTTTATTAGTTACTATAATAATTATTTTAGCATTGCCAAGGGTAGCTTGGGTACAGAAGGAATGACTGTAATAAATTTCACTGAAGTACACAGTTTTAATTAATAATTGTAAATTATTATAAATTCATTAGTATAAATTCATTATTTTAGCTGCAAAACCAAATACAGACCTCTATTTTTAAGGAGGTAAGCTACTGTACAAAGAGTTTATACCATCTAAATTTTCCGATTTCATCTTTTTATGAAAAGCAGGGAAAGCAATTTGCAAATATTTAAAATGTCAAACTAATGGAACTATAAATGATGAACATCTTGTAAGGCATGCAAAAGGAGGCCATGGTTTGCTATGGGACTGTGGAAAAAGAATGAATAATTCATCAGGATAGAATAAATAAGAATATTTCCATGCAGTAGTTGCAGGTTTGTTTATTGATCTACCTGGTAGAAGTTCTTAAAAGATTCATTATTTAGCACAAGCTAGAAAATGTAATATACCCAAAACACTGAAAATACTTTATTTCTGGCTTTGGGACTTCATTGCCCATCAGGGAAGAAAATCCCAAACAAACATTAAAACAGAAAAAAAAACTCTGAAACCGTGCATTGCATAATGAAGGGTAGGAATGCATGTTTCTGTAGCACCTGAGAGCTACTCAGTAGCTGCAGAATTCTTACAGTTTTGGAATGGCACTGCAGCTGTCAGGGGCAGGGGGGTTTGCACAGGTGTCTGTGACCTGGGAGGGCCATCCAGCCTCAGACACTGGTAACCAAAACCCACTAAAATCACTAAAAATCAAACCAGCACATCGAGTCCCTCCCTGCCAATCCCTGCTGATTCACCAGGGAACAGGGCTGGGCTCCTCTGCTACCAGTGCCAGGGGAAATGCAGAAATAGGGGGAACGACCCCACCTCTATGAGACAACTATGAAAATGTTATTTTTAGGTATATTTCTTACAAAGCCTTTTTAGGACAGCAAATGGCTAACAGTTACAACTTTAATCCTTTTCTTCCTCCATTTTGGAATAGTCATTATTTCCCCTTCTATTTTTTAACTAAATTTGCCATTTTATTTTGATTTAAAAATAATTTTCAAAGTGGGAAAGAGCATGAACTGTCAACAGCAAGGTGTGCTGTGTTGTCCCTGTGGGAACTCTTCATCCCAAAGGGCTGTTCCCTCCCCTGTGACCCCAAGGACTGGCAGGGGACTCATCCCATGGCCAGTGAGGAGGATGATGATGCTGTAAGAAAGCCCATCAGTGCCCCTTTAATGTGCTGCTCCTCCTTGGTCAGCCACTGCAGCTCAGGCTCTTTGGGGCATTTGGAGATGCTCAGGCTTTTAACATCATCGATTTTCTCCTTCAGTGGTGCTGCTGTTGTCATCCTTCATCCAGAAAACCTGTACCTGCAGAAGTGCAGCCCACATGCTCCACTCAGACTGTGCCTGTCGTGGGTTCATTGCACGTTGATGCTTAAAGAGCTCATATTCCCTTAAAAAATCCCAAACAGCAACAAACCAACAGCTTTTACTCCCGTTTTCCTTTGGAAATGGAGATGACACGAAAATAATTATTTGACATGAGTGGCAGTGGCTGGCAGAGCACCACCTTTTTGTGGCCACAGCTTCCCAGGCTGCTCTGGCTGCTTTCTGGTGGCCTTTCCCTGCACGATTTGTGGTTATGATTCCAAAGTGTTTGCTGCATCCAGCTCACCTGGCTGGCTTTCCCTGTCAGCTGCAATTCGACAGTGTTTTAGCACTGATCCTTGCATAAATAATGCCCTTCATTAGAGGATTTTTTCGTGGAGCAAAGCCTTGCATTTGTTTTGAAAGCCAGCACCTTTTGCAGACTTTATATTTCAGTGGTACATTCCAGACTTTTCCAAAGAACATTGAGCTTGGATGCTGAATATGTTGCTGCTAGTTGTTCAGAACTTTAATTCTAAAACACAGCTTAAGCTGTTGAAGAAATTTGTGGTGATTAACTGAAACTTTCCTTTCTGCTTGGTTGAAAAAGGTCATCCCTCCTTTTGTGACAGTTTTCAGATCTTTCCAGCACTATTCTTTCCTTTCCTAGGTATTGTGCCAAGCACCTGGAAATACAATTTCCAGATCTGCATCTTTAGGGTATCGAGTGTGAGTGCACAATAAATAGAGTGATAATTTAATATCTGTGTGTTTTGCAGGGCAGGCTTTGGCAGGTCATTAGTAACCTGCCAGTGGCTCTGGGAGCATTCTGTGTGCTTTCATACAAGATTTTGAGCATTTATAGGTGATTCAGCCTCATGCCCTACAGAAACACATTGCAGGAAGGTAGAATGCTAGAAATTAAAAGTAATTGAGGTTCCAACACATGACAACAGAAGCAGTTTGGCTTCTCTTTTCTGTGACAATCTCCTGCGTGTAAATTGCCAGGAGCAATATTCTTTACTCGCTTATTCCAGCTGAAGGATTTGCAAAGGTAACTAATTTCATCCTCTGATTCACTCCTTAGAAATCCCTTTTTTCTTTTCCCTTCCAAAAACGTAACCTGAATTCTTCTAATTTGTCACGGTGGTTATTTTTGGGGTTGGTAAAATCTTGAGCATTACCAGCAGAATCATGAGCATCCCTTCTTGTACTGTTTATAGCAGAGCCCTGTTTTGAAGCTTGTTGTTGTTCTGGAAAAATACTACAGGCTGCTGAAATTATCTTTAAAGTGCTTAGAAATTGCTGATAGAATGCATAAATTACTTTCTTTATGCTCTGTGTATATCCTTGTGCATGTGTGAGACTGTTCATACACATAAGACAAGAAGTATGCAAGTTGCATTCGCATTGGTGCATGTAGAGACACTCAGATGCAACATTTGTAAAATTTAGTCAGGATTTGTCTAATTGGCATGTGCAATCTCTGGCACCCTTCCCCTCAACCATACATTTGTTATTTCAACAAATCATGGTACTTGTATAGACAAAAGGCTGAACAATTTCAAATTACCTTCAGATGAAACAATAGCATAATGACATAATGAGAGAATTACTTTCTGCACTTTGGTCAGATTTGGGTTTTTTTGGGAGGGGTTTAATGCCTACCATGCAATGACAAAGGTTTATTCTCCCTTTGTTCTTTTCAGAGTGCTGCAGCAGCTCCCAGCCCAGTGCTAGGAAACATTCCCCCAGGAGATGGCATGCCAGTAGGTCCAGTACCACCGGGGTTTTTTCAGGTATTCAGAAAAAAAAAAAAAATTATGATTACAGGAATTTTAGGATAGAAAATCCTCTGTAATACTGTTTGCAAGTCTGTAGAAAAGGTCCTGTTCTGAACTATGTCTCACTGTGTGGTGCAATATTTGAGAAAACAGAAGTGGACAGGTGGGAAGGAAGGGACCTGACTGAGGAGTATTTAATTTATGAAATAGTACTGCACAGAACAAGAAATGGTGCCAGGTTCTTAGCAGAGATCGAAAATGCTTGAGTACAATATTAAAATAATTTCTTACGATAATACCCATAACATTCCATGGAAATTTTAAAGTCAGAACGTTATTGGTTGTGTTCAGCTCTGTGCTAAGGCCATGGGCCAGATTCCTGAGCTTTTGTGGGAATTCAGCCTGGGCAGAATGCAGAATATCCCACTGAGCATCACCCTGCACCTTCGAGATCTCAACCTCAGTGCCTAAAAAAGTAAAGTCAGGGATTTAGACCATGTGCTGCTTCTGTTCAGTTTTTTCCTATGTGGAGCTGGCAGTACCAGCAGAGGATATGATGGTGGAAGAAATGACATTTTAGTGCAAGCCCAGCGTGCTGTTTGTGACCTGAGGCTGCACTGCTCCCAGGCTGGGCTTACATCTTCTCCTCACCAAAACTCAGTTGTTTTCCTACACACTGGCAAACTGAGGCTTGATTTGTAATACATGAACGAAAAGACACTTGGAAGTGAAGTGGAAAATATCTGGCTCCTGCCAGTAACAAAATTCTTGGGAGGTGGTAGAACTCATTAATTAATTTATTTCTGCTTTTAGTGCTTTGAACAGCTGGTTAAGAAGGCTCTTTTGCACATGATTTTTGTCTTAATTTTTAGATTATATTAATATTTAACCTTTTTTTTTTTTTTTTTTACTTTAGCCTCCCACTTCAGTTGTGATGTCAGAGGAATTAACTTTTTTTGTTGTTGTTATTGTCTATGATGACTACTAGGATGGGGAAGGGGCACAGATAGGAGAAGTGTGTGAAGTACAGAGGAGAGAGTAACTATTTTAAAGGTTTTGCAGGAGGAGGATGTGGGAGTTTTGTTTTTAGAAGCGTGAATAGACTTCTAGCCACTCCAGATCTTTGAAGATGTAAGAAAGACAATCTGATAGAAAGTTGAGTGTTGTAAGCCAGTACGTGGCTTGAGTCTGACTTGAAGCCACAACATCATCCTGCTCTTTTTGCGAGGCCTGAGAGTGAAAAGGAACATTTTCCAAGACATTATTAATCCTTGCTGTAGCTATGTGCTTAAGAATACATGTAAGTTTGGAAATCAGGTGTGGTAGTGGGTGTGGTGATGTGTTTGGGAGCAATCCCAGCACGGAGAGCTAAGCCAAAATCCAGAGGGTGTGCAGCCCAGTGAGAGCCTGAGGTGAGTGAGTGAAGCTGTGAGAGCAGACAGCCCTGCTGCTGCAGTGGGTGTTGTCAGGCAGCGCTTGGTGCCAGGCTCTGAAACCTTCATCAGAGCTCAGCCTTACCAAGGTCAGCCTGCCCCAGGACAGGAAAATGTGCTGGCAGACAGAGCCTGCATGTGTGAAACTTGAAAATGGAGGGGCATCATCTGCTGCCGTGAAACGCAGGTGAAATCGTAGGCAAGACAGGGAAACTCGTGGTGAAAACCTCCTCCTTCCTTCAGGGGTGCTGCTGTTCTGGTACACCTTTACCTGCAGAGGCTGTTTCTGCATCCCCTCCTGCAATTCCTGTGATCCCAGAGTAAAGCAAACCACAGAGAACAGGTTCTTCTGTCTTGGTCTGAGAGCTGGCAGCCCTCATTCTTCTCCACCCAGCAATGTGGAGCTGAGACCTGCCCCTCACTCCCAGATTTTGGCAATAGCAGTTTGTTCTCCAGAGTCAGACCACATGGGCAGAGCAGGAGAGAGGTGCCTGTGTCTATATTTAGTGCACTGAGACTTTGCTCCACAAAGGCCTCGTAGCATTTTAATTCCTTTAGCCAGAAATTTATCTGGAAGGTCACCCTGGAATGATGAGGGTGCCTGTTGTTGCTTTCAGGAGTTGTTTGGGTTGGGCTGAGCTGAAGCTGCTGGCAGCCAGCACCTGCCAGCTCTGCTTGCAGAACTCAGGGGTCACAGATGATTTAAATTTCTTCCCTCTTGCTTTTACGCTCGTGTTTTGGGTGGGCACTGAGCACTTGCAGGGACATAAGCAAAGTGGGGTATTGCTGCTGCAGTGGGTTCTTGCCAGAACAGGGGAATGTCACAGTCCAGGGAGGGAAATGTGCTGGGAATGAAGAAACCACCAGCAAGCTTCGCTTTTGGTTGGCACTGCTGACCTCTAACATGATTTTTGAGATGTTTGTTTTTTATAGAAGGAAATGAATATATTTTACGATTTTTAAAACATAATTTGGTCTGCTAGTATAGCACATGGAGGTAGAGAAATACAGGAGAATTGTTGTTTCTCAGACAGTATGTAGTAAAACTCTGCTCTTTGTAAAATAAGGTTTTCTCATGCAGGTTGACCATTACCACTGATGTTAATTAGCAGCTTGTGGCATTTCATGCGTGGTCCACAGAGGTAGAGGTTTTGAAGCCAGCAGCTGAATTTGTCTTCTCTCTCTGTGCAGTTGTACTTTAATACTCCAATTCAGGTGAGGGATGATGGTCACTGCAGTGCTGACTGTCCAGAAAAATGGCACAGTGCAGGGAAGGTGGTGGAGTTATACACACTATTGTCATCAAAGAAATGAGGTTTGGGGGTTTTGTTTGTTTGTGAGGTTTTTGGTTTTTAAGAGAAATTGTTTGCAGTGTCAAAAGTGAAATTTGAAAAGTCAGTGTTTACATGGAGTTAGGATGTGCCTCAGTTTCCTCCACTGGTGTGTTTGTGTTTGAATGTAACTTTAAATTCATAGACAAATCCTTTTTGTCCTCGTCTTCTCTCAGTCTGAGCAGCAGTGGGACTCTGGAAATAACTCAGTGTGAAAGAGAAACTGAACCTGCTCTTGATTCATTAGCAGCAGCGCTTGAATGTGTGGGGCACAGCAGTTCTGCCATACAGGACTCTTTAACTCTACATAATATAACCCAAACAGCTGCTTTGGGCAACAGAAGTCATGAAACCATACTAGATTGCGTAGAGGTGAGATGATTTTATTTATACATGTCTGAAATGCCCAACCAGCCCTAACCTGAGTCTGGAAACACCTCATCCTTTTCCAGTTTTCCCATCTATAACATCCTGGACATGGAGCTAAGGTGTGAGGAAAGCACTTAGCTACTGTGATGATAAAATAAAGTAATTTGGGACATGTCATTTTTAGACATTTTTAATCCACATCATTTGTTAATTTCTTCATATGGCCAGTCATGGATATCAGCGTGATCTGCTCTTTGTCCCTGGTTCTGGAGCCGTGTCTGACCCTGACATAGTAAGTGAGCAGCTGAAAGACTGAATAAGATCATAACAAAGAACTACCTTTGGGTCTAATGTTAGTGCATGTATATAATGTCAGCAGCCACAGCTTTACACAAGGCTCTTACTAACTCATTTACAGTGAGTTAAATCTTACACTTGTGATCAAAGAGGTTCAGGTCATAGAATTCACAGAATTTCAGGTTTCCACATCCAGTCTTGTAGGTGCAACTGCTGCTCTTCAGGTACTGAGGACCATTTCCATCCCTCTCTTCACTAATATTTTAAGGCACGTAAACAATGTGAGAGATGTTAGATTTCTGTTTTTGCAGACCATTTACTTGATCCTTGTAGACAGTCCCAGTGCTAGTAAGCAAATGAGCAGAGGCCAGAGGGAAGCTTGGGAGCATGCGTTCATTGAGTTGTTGGGAATTTTTAAACAGAATGTAGACTGTTGATTTGACAGGATTTTATTTGCCTTTTAGTTAAATGTCCAGTTTTATCACTCCACACTCCTTTCTGTTTTAAGCGCAGAGTTTAAATGGATGGTTTGGAAGGGACCTTAAAGCCCCTCTTGTTCCCCGCCCAGCTGTAGTTCTCCAAGTCACTGACACCCAGCACTGCCCAGAGTGTGACCCTGGCTGCTGCCCGTGCACTGCAATTAGGAGAAACATTGAAATGTGTGTTTAATTAAACCCCAGCTGCTCTGCTCCGTGGCTGCCCAGAGGTTTGGCTGTGTGAGGAGAGTGGCTGGCTTTAGAGGCACTCACCTGAGAGACTGCTGGGAGCTGTAGGGGAAGCAGGTTGTTTTACAATTGACAGTTCACTTGTTTAATTTGGTAATTCTGTTAAAAGTCAAATTCTAACACTTGTCTTTACCTTTTCACACATAAGTGAAGCGCCCTTTCTTTTAAGCACATTACTTTTTTCAGCACATTTGTTAAAAATCTCTTCAGCTTACCACTAAACATTATTTCCGTGGTGCCTGTGTTTTCTAAAGGGCTTTTCAAGTGCCTGGCTTCGTTCACCAACCTCAGATCACCAGATAAACTTGGAATGGCATGGGAGAGAAGTGTCGACACCATGTTTGAAATACAAATGTTACATATTCCTCTTATATAAAGGGGGAAAAAAAACCCAGCCCAAACCCAGCCCTGCAAATGTGAGCCTGCCTTGCCATCTAGTGGCAGCTGCTCGTGCTCATTTCAGCTCAACCCATATTATTCTCAAATATTATTTTTAGCCTTGTTTGCCATAGTAGAGCTGACCTAATGCTTCAGGAGAGCATTATTATAGTAAAGCACATGAGCAAGCAGGACTTCATTTTCTTGCCTATATAAATATTTATCTCCAAATAGTAATGCTAGGCAGGAAAAAATATATATAAAAATATATATGCATACATGAACATTTATATTGGTTATATATGAATATATAACAAATATGTATCTACCATATGTAAATAAAATAAATTAAAGTTTACCACTTAGTTAAGTGAGAATAAGCAAAGTCAGGAAATTGAAAATTAGTATCATGCATCTCCTGCATTTTGAAGCAGAAATGGTGAAAACTACTTACACACAAAAAGAAAATGGATTTGTAAGGT